AATGAATAAATAAGGTTGTAAGAAATAAATTTAATTTGCAAAAAAGGTTTTAAAAATCTGCTTTTATTATCATAAAAACAAAAAATCTTGCTCAGAAAACATTACAATGGAAAATATCTTACATATTCACATGATTTTTTGGAGAAAAATTAAATCATGGCCAATATGTGATCGAGATACTGCCTGGAAAATCAAATGTGGCAATAATTCTGAAACATTTAATTCAGAAAAATATTTAAGTTAATGGTTTCATCCTTCACCTTCAATCAACATTTTCTATGTACGATTAATAAGAAGTGTAACAGGCCAAGTCATACCAAAAAAAGAAAGTGATTCAAATAATGAAAATATTTGAAAGCAAGTTTCCTGGAAAAATATCACAAATATATACATTTTAGGTTATAGGGAAAGAGAGCATTTCATTATGGGAAGATTATTCACATATCACACATCACAGTCAAACAGCACTGAATTTACTCTCATAAATGCACCTAATACATTTTTAAGAATCAGATTTGCCTGGGGCAGGTGAATTCATTAATCAAGGATACATCTGGTCTAACACAGTATTTACTTTTTTTATATTTAGGAAATTTTTCCTTAACAATCATTTTGGACTAATGGTATAGAGTAGACAAAACAGTAACAAAGGATTACTATTACACATTCTTTACAGACTCCATTATTATACTAAATAAAAGGGAAAACTAGAAACAAATACACAACTTACCATAATGAGAACTGTTGAAGACACCTGTTATTGTCTTGCATGAAGAGTTGTCCCCACCACACACTCCACATTTGTCTATCTTGGCACTGGAGTTTAACACGTGATCACAACCAGCTGCCTTCAAGACACAATTACAATCAATATTATAAGAATGACTAATTATGAAGAAAAGAGAGAAGATCCAAATACATATAATCAGAAATGACAAAGGGGATTTACCACTGACCCCACAGAAATACAAATAACTCTCAGAGACTACTATGAACACCTCTATGCACATGAACTAGAAAACCTAGAAGAAATGGATAAACTCCTGGACACATACACCCTCCCAAGACTGAAGGTGGAAGAAAGAGAATCCCTGGACAGACCAATAATGAACTCTGAAATTGAATCAGTAATAAGTAGCCTACCATCTAAAAAAAGCCCAGGACCACACGATTCCCAGCTGAATTCTACTAGGTGTACAAACAAGAGCTGGTACCATTCCTACTGACACTATTTTAAAAATTGAGGAGGAGGGACTCCTCCCTAACTCATTCTATGAGGTCAGCATCATCCTGATACCAAATCCTGGCAGTCACACGACAAAAAAATAAAACTTTAGGCCAATATCCTTGATGAATACTGATACAAAAATCTTCAACAAAATACTTGCAAACCAAATCCAGCAGCAAATCAAAAGCTTATCCACCACCATCAAGTAGACTTCATCCCCAGGGTGCAAAGTTGGTTCAACATACACAAATCAACAAATGCAATTCATCACATAAACAGAACAAAATACAAAAATCACATGATTATCTCAACAGATGCAGAAAACGCTTTCAATAAAATTCAACACCCCTTCATGTTAAGAGCTCTTCATGAAGTAGGCATTGAAGCAACATACCTCAAAATACTAAGAGTGATCTATGACAAACCCCCAAAGGCTATTATACTGAATGGGGAAAAGCAGGAAGAGTTTCCCTTGAAAACTGGCACAAGACAAGGATGACTTTCTCACCACTACTATTTAACATGTACTGAAAGTCTTGGCCAGTACAATCAGGGAAAAGAAAGAAAGAAAGGGCATCCAAATAGAAAAAGAGGAAATCAAACAATCCCTGCTGGTTGATGACATGATTATATATCTAGAAACTCCACAGTCTCAACCCAAAAGCTCCTTAACCTGACAAGCAACTTCAGCAAATTTGAAAGATACAAAATCAATGTACAAAAATTAGTACCATTCCTACACACCAATAATAACCAACTTGAGACCCAAATAAGGAAGACAATCCCTTCACAATGGCCACCAAAAGAATGAAATACCTAGGAATACAGCTAACCAGGGAGGTGAAAGATCTCTGCAATGAGAATTATAAAACACTGCTCAAAGAAATAGAGATGACACAAACAAATGAAAATATTCTAAATATTCTATGCTTACAGATGCGAAGAATCAATGTCATTAAAATGGCCATACTGCCCAAAGCAACGTATACATCCAATGCCATTTCTATAAAACTACCATTGATATTCTTTACAGAACTAGAAAAAACTATTTTAAAATTCATATGGAACCAAAAAAACAGCCTG